GGGGGGGGGGTAGTGAACCATGAGAAATTACTGGTTGGAGTGAATGTTCTGCTCCCCTTGCCACAGGGAGGGGCCCAGGCCCACTCCCAACACATACTGCTCCTGCACAAGTCGCTGAAACCTGAAGTTCCAGAGTGGAACTGAGCTCGGGAAGCAGTAGGTGCCCAAGGACCCTCCCATGCAGATACTCCTAGAGAGACTGTGTTCAGTTTCTAAGCAGAACTCATGTTAGGAAGACAAAATATGTCCATGTGTCTTTAAGCCCTCTGGCATTTCATGACAGTGATTACTTTGCATGCAGTGAATTCCTATACATTTATTCAAAACAATTAGCCTAGTTACGGCCTCTTGATCTTAAAATATCACACGGTATCAGCTTATCCTGCTAAGTGACCCCTCAGCACAGGCTATGCTGCTGGGACAGAGCTGGAATTCTGGTTCACAAAGGACGCAAACTCAGCTTCCCTTTCCAGATCTTTAGAGCTTTGCTTTCAGGCACAGTCGTCTTCCAGAGGTGCCCATGGGCAGTCCTCCATGCCCCCAGTCCTGGGCATTTGGGCAGCACGGCCCTGAGGTTCACTCTCCTCTCAGCCTAGGGCACAGCTGCCTGTAGGGTTCCTGCCACCCTGGCTCTTTCAGAGCTCCTTCACTGGATTCTCTCCTGCTCAGTCGACAAATGTTCAAGTGCCATGGAACCAGCAAATCCCCATTCCTTAGCTCGACCTTGTCTGTCTGCAGCCAGCCCACCTGAGAGGTGGGCCATACACAGCACTAGCCAGGACACCCCAAAGCAGACTTACATTGCAGCCCTTGTCTGTGAGGTAGCTGATGCCTTCCTCGGGGCCGATTGCCAGCTCCACGGAAATAATCCAGCTTGACTTTTGAAGGTGAAACAGTTGAAAGCAGAGGTATCGGAAGGAAAAAGAACTATTTTAGATAAAGAGCCCAGGGCACATTAAAGGACCAATGGGGGGATGGCTTAGCTAGCCATTAATCTATCTAACCAAATAACAAAATATTTATAACTTCATTGATCCAACATCTACCTAGCCTAAATGAAGATACTGTGCTCCTTCCAGTAGGTCTGAAGCTAATGGTTTCTTTGGGAAGATTGTCTGAACGGGGTAAACTAGCCCTTCGAGAACAGGTCATCAACAAATTGCTCAGCTGGGATAAAAAACCTAATTATGAACACAGACATGCTATTAAAAGAAGATGATTTTATTCTCACATCACTTTTTTTTACATTTCCCCCATATTCTGATGTTGTTAAAAATGTGACAAATTCAATTTCAATCAGAAATTTAGACATACATGGTTAAGGAAAAGCAAAAGTAATGAACCCTCGTGTACTCCTCCCATGCCCTGTACTTACACCAAGAGCACACTTGAAGCACTCCTTATCAAATCTGTACACTGGGGAGAGGATCTCAAAGAATTTCAGGATACTCTCTTCTCTGTTGAGGTTGGCAAACTGTCTAAATGTCTGTTGGATCAGTTTTCTTAGTGTTTTGGCCTGTACAACAAAATTACAAAAATTTTTTCAGAGTCAAGAATGAGTCAAACACAGCAATACTATCTAACTTCAATGAAGAGTTCTTCCCTAACGCCACTTAATACAACCTATGCTCAAGTTTTACAAAATGTCATATTTATCAGAGCTTCATTTCTATTTCTAAATAACTATAATAAAATACATATAACATAAAACTATATTCACCATTTTTAAGTGTACAGTTCAGTGGTTTCAAACTTTATATCTTAAATAGAAATGTGTAAGGTAATATTGGTCATTAGGACATGTAAAGAGTTAGGCATTAAAAACATGTCCCTGCCCACGAAAGGGACCTGACACAGGTGATGGGTCAAGGCACTCATACACCCACTGCTGGGAGGAGCAGTCAGTGTAGCCTTTCTGAAGGGCAACTTGCCAAACACAAGTCAGAAGCCCTAGAAAACCACAACTCCTGACCCAGCACTGAAAATCCCAGGATGTTATTCCTTAGGGGTGATTACAGAACTACGCAGACACGCAGCAACAAGGAAGGTCTATAGAACTGTCTGTAGTAATGCACACAGTGGTGTGTCTGCCTACCCAGTGCTCTACGCACTCGTAAGGATGGCTGTATAATGACTGATGGACATTAAAATCTCATCGTGGAGTTAATGAAGAAATATGAGAAAACCATGTGCACATACAGGTGCTTTGAAAAGGACAGCACAGGGTGGGAACTCACACATAGACACATGGGAGCATATGGTGTGGGTCTCATACATGGACACGTGGGAGCACAATGAGCGCGGGGGTGGGACTTACACATGGACATGTGGGAGCACACTAGGCAGAGGCATCAATGCATGAGGAAGGAGAGAAACAATATGCCTTTTTCTTCTGTGTGGAAACAAGGCATCTATCCACGCTTGCTACTCAGTTTTAAACCAGTTCACATACAGAGAAAGCTACTCAGAATGTGACACTTCCTCAAAATGAAGCAATATTATTAGGTCATAGCATCAGAAATTACAGCTACAAAATAATTTCGTATTAGTCAACCAAATACTAATCAAGATGCTGCTAGCAACAATGGGTCCCTAGGGCTTCCCAGATGAAAAGGTTATGATGTAATGCTAAAGAAAATTCCCAGTAAAGGAATAATAGGCTGCTAAATATAGGTATGTTAACAGTGCATGCAAAGTGTTTGTTTTTTTTAAAAAATGAGAAATAATTGACATAACATTGTTAGTTTTAGGAATACAACCTAAGGATTCAGTATTTGTATGTACTGCAAAATGACCACCCGATGGCTAGTTAACACCCATCACCCCACAGAGTTACGAATTTTTTCCTTGTGATAAGAACTTTTAAGACCTACTCTCTTTGCAACTTTCAAAAATGTAATGCAGTTATCATTAACTATAATCACCGTGCTATGCATTGCATCCCTGTGACATTTACTTTGTGACTGGTAGTTTGTACCTTTTGACTCCCTTCACCCATTTCATCCACCCCCAGCCTCCTACCACTGGCAGCCACCAATCTGTTCTCTGTATCTATGAGTTTGGGTCTCTTTTGTTTTAGATTTTGTTTCTAGATTATTCCACATATAAGTGAAATCATATAGTATTTGTCTCTAACTTATTTCACTTAGCATGATGCCCTCCAGGAACATACATGCTGTCACAAATGGCAAGATCTGCTTCTTCTTATGGCTGAACACTACCCAGGGCGTGTGCGTCTTCTTCACCCATTCATCGATCGATGGACACGCAGGCTGCTCTGTCTTGGCTACTGTATATGATGCTGCAATGAGCATAGGCTGCTTTTTTTTTCATCCTATTCACAAGGACCTGTATCAGACGGGAACTTTCCATGCAGACACCAGGTTTCACTCTCCCTGGTGCCCCCATTCAGAAGCTGACATGCACCAGATGAATGACTCTTAAGCCAGGCATTTCTGTGCCTGACTAAGTGCCAAGCCTGCAATGGTTACCTGCTAATCAGAAATGAGAATGATGACTGTTTTCTCTANCCAGGAATGGAGTGCTGAATGACTCTTAAGCCAGGCATTTCTGTGCCTGACTAAGTGCCAAGCCTGCAATGGTTACCTGCTAATCAGAAATGAGAATGATGACTGTTTTCTCTAAGAATGAAACTAAGTGTTCCAATGGTACTCTAGCACTTTATCATTTGGAAATTGAAGAGAGACTTCTCAAAACTAGCAAAGACAGCAGAGAGCCCCTCAGGCCTTCCCCAGCCCTGCCTGAAATGGACACCTTCCTCAACCCTGGCCCACGTGCTGAACTACAACATCAACACTGGTACAGTCCTGTCCACTGAACTATAGACTATGCCCACATCTCACGGTCTGCCTTGAGGACACTGTCCACTCTATCCTTTGACCTTCAGAATCTCATACTGCATTTACTCAAGTCTCCCCTGTCTCCTCAGCTATGACAGCTTCTTGACACTTCTGAAGAGTAATGATCAGAAAGCTGTACCTATAACATCATAGCATCATATAAGGGAGAAAACCACATACCAAGGAGAGGGTTTTGAATAAGTGGTCATCTAATTTATGATAAAGTAAACTCTAATTACCTTGACAGAATCCAGTAAACTCCTAGGGAAAAACCGCTTCAAACCAACATCTTTTCTGAAATATAAAAAGAAGTGTAACAGTAACACCACCAAATCAAGGAATATAATGACACTGTTGCAAGAACACAGGAGCATGAATTATTTATCCCTGCACATCTGACCCAGGATGGACAGACAATGAAGTTCCAATTTACCAGCAGTCACGGAAGGGGTGGGATTAACCATCTCCGATACAACGTGGTTTAAGTAGAAAGTCTTTTTTTCTTTTAACACTTACTAGAAACTCATTTAAAATACTGCCTCTTTGAAACTGCAATGTACAGATAAACTGTTCTTCGAACCTCCGTTTCAAGGGGGCAAGGCTGTATTTGCAGACAGGCCTGATTAGGAAAAAATTGGGGACATACTATGGAAGTTTAAAAAAACAAACTTGGAATTAATCCTAACAGCTGACACCTTTTTAAAATAAACTTTTTGATTAAGGGGCACATTCACCTAATCAAGGTTCATCTCAGTTTCACACAGCAAACAAAAGAAATTAAGGGATTTGCCGAAGGTCAAAAGCTGAATGTGAAAAATGTTGGAAACTCCAGTGACTTTCTTTGGATCAGGCTTCAAAATCATTATTATCAAGAGCCTCAAGCACTCTGGCCAAGAGAGATTGGAAAGAGGAGTGCATTCTTTTTTCCTACTTTGGGTACGCAGCGCCCAGGTTTTTTGGCCACTAGATGGCAGTCATGTGCTGCTAAGATGAAATAAAGCCTGGACATAGCAAGGAATGTCAGGAGACACGTGGGATGTACAAAAGGATCAAGGAGAAAAGTGAAATACAGGTATCTGTCCAGAATGACATAAGAAAACAATAAACTGAATATAAAATATTTTTTAAAACACACGGGAATAACTTCGTCTGTATTCTAAGGTAGAGGCATCATATAGAAACCACAGAAGTCATGTCAGCACATGTTAAGTTAAATCCCCTATTCTACAATCTGACTGGTTAGGACCTAAACCAACGAACTCCTTGCTAAATCCAAAACTGCTCTCAGTTCTCAATGTTTTATTGTTTTTATCATTAGGTTAACTACATCTTTGCAAAATGCTTTCTTGGCACTGTGACATACTGTTTTCTGGTTTTACCTATCAGCTAATTTACGAACCCCCTGGTTTTCCATTTACTTCTCTAATTTCTCATCTTTTAAGATCTGCAGCATCTACTGTGACTCTAGGACATGAAGAGGGAGTGTCCATCCAGATTTTTCCTCTCTGATGCCTCCTGAAAAGACATGGGCTCTGCATTTTAAGGATCTTGGTGCTGATCACTACGGGAAGTAGCAAAATAAGCACATAAAGGAAAAACAAACACCCTAGAATCTTTGAGGCATATTCCTGAGCACTTCTTTCTTATCTTCCTTACCAGGCAACCAGACCACAGTAAGCAGCACTCCTCACAGGGAGAGTTGGGCACTGGACTGTGGCTGTGCCATGGATGTACCTGGCTGTCACCTGCACCTGGAAACCTCGAACTCTTTACCTGTGAGTGGAAGGCTACCTCCTACATTCTGCAGTGCTGAGGGTGCAACAACAAGGGTTAAGCCACGGAACCAACTCCAAGGGGTAGTTTCCTGTCCCTGGAATACTGTAGGCCCCTCCTATCTGGTAAGTTTGGTCCACAGGCCTGCCTAGCAGCTTCTCTGAGCAGAGGGAGGTGTGACCTGATTCTGCCATCAGCAGAATGTACCATGAGGGGGAGGGGAGGGAGGCTCTAACAAGGGATCAGTAAGTGAGGTAAGCTGGGGGTAGATGCAGGACCTGTTCTGGACAGACGCAGAGCCAGCAGAGCTAAATGACTGAACACCTGTGAGACAGAGGGAAAGGCGACCTCGGGGATGCTAATGCCATGCACTTGGAAGGGGTAGGGTGGGGATGGGGGCGCACCATGAGGTCTGTTTCAGACATATGGGGTGTGCCCTCCGTGGGGATTTCAGGGAGACGGGTGGATGAGGGGAAAGGCCAGGTCAGGGGATGTCCTCTTCCGAATGTGATACCATTGGGGCTATTAGTCAAACTGGTTACATTTTTCTTTTTCTTAGAGTTGGGTGGAATTTACTGTACTCATTTCTGCCACAAGTAGGAAAATTAAAGGTGGACCAGGAAGGTTGTATATTTCAAGAAAAATGATAGAGAGCATATTTCTTTGTGGAAATAAAGCCTATTCCTGGGTGTTAGTTTAACTTCCTAGGTGACAATACCACTTGGAAAAAAAGCTAAGGCCAACTGCATAATGCTGAGCAAGTGTGCAGTTCTATTTTTTTTTCCAACTACCTGTGAGTAACAAGGTATGTGTAACATCTGTCCATACGTTAGAACTCTTTTAAATGAGACATTTGGCAAATAAGAAAAATAATGAGGCTAAATTATACAAAACCATTGGAAAAATTCAACACCGCTCTTAACACGTTTCCACTGATTTAATCAAGAAAGCAGGTCTCCTTTAGGCTTTGTGGTGGAGGACCTGAGGTGTTCCATTCAAAGTTGTCAGGAGAGCCTATTACAGACACCTAAATTTAAAGCTCTCTGAGGAAGCCAGGCAGGGACCAAAGGCTGTCCCACTTTCATCCGAGGTCCCTCTCCAAGCTAGTGCCCTCAGCTCAGCAGCAGCCTGGCCTAGAGCTTTAGGTGGCATACACCTCACTGAGCCCAAATGCGACAGCTGCAAGAAAATGTGACTAAAACAATAAATAGTACTTAGAAACAAAATACAACTACTGGCCTTTCCTGTAAGGTAATTCTTTACTATGTAAATAATTGTCAAAACAAAAAACAAAAAACGAGCTCACACAAAACTTTGAGAATAAATACCGCTGAAGCCCAAGTCTCAAACCCCATCACTGGGTTGTTAGTACCCTCACCCATCTGACGAGATGATAACATTGTGAGAGCTGCACTGCCCACTACAATAGCCACATGACGCCATTTATACTTAAGTTAGTTCAAATTCAATTTAAAAATCTAGTTCCCATTTCCAGTGCTCGGAGGCCCATGTGGCTGATGGCTCCTGTACTGGCTGGGGCACACAGCTGCTTCCTGACTGTCCAGGGCTCAGTGCTGTGGGCCCGTAGGCTCCTCCATTAAGGCAGGGCAGGCAACCTAGGTGGACCCAGGGCACAGCTGCAATGTTCCCTGGGCTGCCCAGAAAGACTGGGAAGAAGGCTGGGAGGAGTGAAGTGGCAGATCCCACAGAGGGAGCTGGAACTGCTGCCCATGGGCAGCAGAAGTGCCTAATTACTGTTCTCCCCACTTCTCTCTCAGGATTAGAAGCATGAGGTTCTATCAACTAGCCCCTAAGATTCCCATTATCCTGGTTTGACACTTCAGAGAAAGCAAGCCCGTACTCATTTACTGACTCCTACTAGGCTCCACATTAGGTAATGGGGCAGAAGCCCTAAAACGCATTCCCTTTTCTCCAGAAAGACACTAACATAAACAACTAGCTGTATGAGAGTGTGAGGTAGTAGGTGATAGCAAGCTTCCAAATCTAATGAATTTACTTGTTGAGACATAGGGGTTCAGGGACTTAAATTACATTTGTGGTCAATTGTAAACAAGAATTTTCTCAATAAAAGTTGAATTTAACCCTGCCTACCCTTCAAATGGAGTGTTCAGACCAGTGCTGATGAGGCCTTTCTCTGTCCCTTGTGTTCATTCTCAAAGCTTTGCCTTCCCACATCTCCATTTGCCAACAGTGGCTTCCTTGTGTTCCCCCTTTCACATCACACTTGCTGTTCTGGATGGTCCAGGTGAGAAGGTGGGGCTCCCTCCTCCAGGTGTAGGAGGGTATGGGCGCCACCCCACAGGCACCACAATCAGCTCAAGGGTGTGCTCAGGTACCACTTAAGACTCTCAGCATTGGTCTTGCCCTGAACATGTGTGCTCATGGCCACAAACCCCTAACACAAGTGGCTTTGGGAGGCCTAAGGGAGCTTCATTTATACAGTAAATAGTAATTCAGCTTCTCATGAGTGAGTTCTTATGTCAACAATAACTTTATTTCCCCTTTAGCATTAATTCTGAGAGACTCTGACCATGTCTGTTGGCTTTATTTAATTCCTCAATGCTTTAAAGCCCAGGCAAAAAAGCAACCAAACTGGACTTTAAAATAGCCTGTGCATTTTCATATAGTATTCCTATCTTGTCCTCACCCCAAACTCCAGGAACTGAGTATCTTTATTTTAAAAATACCACTGAGGAACTTAACCTCCAAAATGATACTGTAAGCTTCTTAAAAACTAATGAATGTTAAATTCTCTAAGTGCAGTAGCGATTGACACTTGCTGCTGAATGACATTCTCTCCTTCACCCTGGGTACAACTGTGTTAGACAGTACAGTACTCATTCCTCTGGGAGCCAGGTGTGGTCCAGGTTCTTCTCAGGGAAAGTCCTGTGTACACATTTGTGCCTTGAGTGGAGAGGAAGGACTGGAGAGAGGGAGAGCAATGTCCATCTGTTCCTCCGTGAGGTGGTGTGATACAGACGAGGAAGGACATGATTAAAGGGGCCTAGCACTCTGGTGAAGAGGAGCACTGACCATCTAGGGTTTTTCTATGAAAGAAAAATGTTAGCTAAGCTACTGTCTGTCTATGTCAAACCTGCCTTGGAAACCATAATTTTAAGACTATATTATTAGCTTACTTGGGTCTAATGTGTCATTGGCAGCAATGCAAGTTTTAAGGTTGACAACAAAACATTTTCTTAAAACATCTGATCTGACCTATAGCTGCTGCTTTCTTTTCTACCCATCACCTCTAATTTACAAAAGATGTAAATGAAAGTCTCTTCTATTGGCACCCAGTTTGTTCCCTGGTAGCATGAGCCCTCAGGAGGTCAAGTTCCAGGGACAGGGCAGGAGGAACTCACTGCCGCGTACCTCCCCTTGCCTATGGAAAAGGGACCTTGGTTCTACTGAGGTTGAAAATTTAAATTTCTAGATAGTGCCTTTCCCACTCTCTAAAAAAGTTGGGCCTGATGATTTGTAGAATAAAAATACTAACAGTAATCAAACTGTCTCCTCAGAGCAGGTATTCTATCCAAAACAAAGGGACAGTTTTCCAGCTGTTATCTGATTGTCCGCGTTTCTGTACCTTCACAGAAACTAGTATCTCCTCCTGGATCAGTTTGATGCCCGACCAGCAACACCCCACCTGCACACACTCCTTCTCCAAAACTCAGAGTGGACAACCATCTCAGCCACCAAGTACCACCCCGAACCCCAACACCCTCTAGAAGCTTCTACATTAATTCCTAGTATGTTATTTTATAGTATTTACTTTTAAGTAAAGATAAAATAATAAAAACTACAGTTTGAAGAATAAGCTAGTTCTGAATATTTGCTTCTAGAAGGCTCCTTTTTCGACATGTAATACTTACTCTAATACTTCATAGTTAGACTTCTTCTCTAGCGCATTGCCCCGCATCTCCCAGTACGATCGCCTAAAATCAGGAAAGATATGAAGTTTTATACATGTTTAAAGAATGTCTGTGTTGTCCAATGGTTAAAAACTGTGGGGGTGAGGGGTGCTTAAGAACCCTGTGGCTCAGCCACAAACATGCTGATGAGCTCAAACACAGAACGAACCTGATTCTCAGCATGTTGCCATATCCTCATGAAGCACAACTGGTTAAGCCAGACCTGTTTCTTTTTTAAAATTTTTATTATTATTTTAAAATGTTTTTTATTGATTTTTTTAGAGAGAGAGAAAGGGAGGGAGAGAGAAACATCAATCAGTTGCTTCCACATGCACCCCCAACTGGGGATCGAACCCACAACCTAGTTATGTGTCCTGACAAGGAACTGAACCAGCAACTTTTGGTGCCCAGGGCAACACTCAACTAACTGAGCCACCCAGCCAGGGACACCCAGAACTATTTCTACTGAACAGCCCCCCTTTCCCCTTTAAAAAGGTGAAGCAGGTCTGGTCTCTGCAAAGACGAGACACAGATTCATTCCAGTTGTAAGAGATCAGCTACACTTGCTACTTCTAAACTTCACCTTTTCTCAAGGGACAGCACATGCAAGCCGAACAGCCAAAGGACACCAGACGGCTGCTGTGGCTGGATGTGCACATACCCACTCCTGTGGAGGCACATATCACAAGGGTAACTGCATCAGACACATAATAGAATCATCAACCTAATTCAGAACTGACTTAACTTTTCATTCATGTTTTATTCAATATTTTATGGATACTCTTTATGAGAAAAGGAAAATAATTGGGTAATTTCCAAAAATAACAAAATCCATTGATGAATAAAGACCTCAAGGTACAGTTGTCATCTTACCGTATTTCTAGACAACCCAACTTCAAAGCAATATCCTGGTCTACTTGGTCAGCTATCTCTAACATATAATCGCTCTTCACCTACAATAAAAAGGAATGGGAAAACAACGCTGTTTTAAAAGAATACATTTTAGATTTATTCATTCAATAAATGTTTACTTTACATACTATATACATACTATGTCAATAATTCTGGATAAGGACAAATATTATCAAAAAACAGGGAAAGAAATACACGGGTCTCTCCTCCTAAGAAGAGCTTATGTAATCAGTGAGCACGTATGTGGAACTTCAAGGAACAAGAAACTTCATCAGAATCACACTAATGTCAAATTGCTCTATACTCTTCCCATGCTGTCAGAAGGGAAAACCAGGGGGGAGACCTCCATTCCCACACAAATTCATGGTGGACATATTTTTTTAACTCAAACTTCAGTTCCAACAAGCATTTTTGGACCTTAGTGCAAGACGGGGAAAATTCACAGATTTAAAAATCCATTGAACTCTGCAACTGATGTGCCTCCACCTACCCGCCATGATTAACCTGCAAAGTAATAAAACATACTTAAAGTCTAATGTAAAGATAAGAATCTAATAGAACTGTACAAATGCCTTCCAACAATGATTACACTCGACTCCCAAAACTGATGGGCCATCTGGTACCCAGAGTACCTCTCAGTGGGAGGACATCTTCATAGGTGAAGTAGGTAAGCCTCCTTACGATGACCACCATTAAGGGCTCAACATCTGCCATTAACGCTGATGCTAGGGAGCACTCGTTTGTATCTCAATTAAGAAAAATGTTCTCCCCCTCAAACGGAGCTCCATTCTTCCCATTAGCAGACCTGTCCTACAAAACACTGCACTGAACTAGCAGACTATGAATTTTACCAAGCAAGTCTGTGGCCATTCATCTTGGCTCTTGTTATGTAGTATTTCATAATACCCCAATTGCCTCTTGGTCCTCAACCCTACAATATTTACTCTGGCCCTTTACAGAAAAAAGTGTGATGACCTCTGCCAAAGAAAAATCCTAAACTATCTATTACCTCCTGGCCTGTCAGTTCACTTGCTCAAAAGATTTACACTCCCCAGTGAATGCCCCTGCCCACCCTCTACTGGACTGCTCATCATTGCATCTTCCCTTGCTAAGACCCCACCTCCCAAATCCCATTATCATTTTCGTATTTTCATTGCCTGGCAAAACCAGCACACAGGAAACAAACCACACACCTGCTTTTCATGCTTACTGCCAAGCAACTGGAGAAACTACAGAATAAGATTTGTTTTAAATTCTTAACAATAAACCTCAAATGGTCAGGAGAAACTGTCTGGAAACTCAACAATGCTTGCCTAGGAAGTTTGCCAACACAATGAGTCACACTTTCTCCAGTCAACATGCCGAATCTCTTTTCTTACAGAGAAAAATAGTCTCCAGATGGGAATGGACCCTTTAACAGACCAAAAATTTGCACCCTGACATGTACATGTTCTCACTGCCAGCCCTTCTCTGGTGGTGGGAGCTGTGACGACATGCCCAGCAGTGGACAGCCATCTGCTGCTTCTGATCTAAAGACCATTTCCTCTCAAAACCTGCTTTATTTTTTGCATTAGCACCTCGACCCCAGTGGTCAATAAATATTTACTGACTGAATGAGTGAGCAAATGAATAAATGAATGAATGAACAGTGATCAAACGCGGGTTTCAGCGCCTCCTGGTGCAAATATTCTTTTCCATGTAAGGCTTACAAGAGTTAGTAAGTTCTATTTCTTACATATAGTAGGCATTTAAGACTGATTCAATGGAACTGAATTACTCAATTCACTAAATTAAGTAAAAAGCTTTCATTCTAAAATCATTTTGTTTACCCTTCAATTGCCTTTTTCTCCTATATGGCAAATAATAAATCCAAACTTAAGAACTAAGTTCTTGCATCGCTGGTAGGTTTATTTTTGAACAGAAGAGATAAATCAAGAGGCACAAGAGATAAATCAAGACATGCATTTATATGTGTTAGAGAAACACTACAGTCGTTCTGACTAAAACTGAATGGACCTTAGCTTATGGTTTGGTGTAGACTTGAAGAAACCACAGCAGAATATCAACTACAGTCAAGGAAAATGCATCACCACAAGACTGTCTTAAAGATTAATCACGTGATTTTTAAACACTATTTACAGGTGTGAAAATGTAATCACTTGCTTTACTTCATTCATCAAAACCAAATTCATACTAGCTGCAAAAATTAAAAAAGGGGAAATTAGAATTTAATGATCCTAATGGGAAATCCCCTTTTCAAAAGTGTAACTTAAAAGTTCTAAGACTTGTTTTTCCTATAGCAACAACCTACTACTCTTGACCCTCCCAGCTAAAGGACCATGGCTTGAAGTCCATTTCTGGTCTGAGGTGACTGATGTGTTCTACGAAGTGTACTGACCCAAGATGGAACAGGCCGTCACAATAGGCCCTCATTGCCCAGTCCTCACCGCCAGCCCTGGGTAGCTTTTCAGCCAGTTCCCATGGTCCAGCCCCTCTCCCTGTCCACCAGGCCCTGGAGGCCCTGTGCTCTGTACACACTCACATCCCAATGCCTGCTCAGGACTCAGGTCCTTCATACTCAGTGCTTATTTCTTTTATAAGACATTTCTTGACTACCGTTCACCTCCTCCTAACACCCAGCAGAACGTGTTGCTTTCATCTGTGAAACAAATGCAACTTATTGAGCATTTAAGTGTGAGTATGTGTGAGTGTGTGTGTGTGTGTGTGTATAATTGCTTAAAGTAAATATACTCAGCTCCATTCAGGCAGATTTATAGCTCATTTAGTCTTCACTACATCAGTGTGAGCTGGACACTACTAGCACCCCCAATTTATTAGAAAAAGCCTAAAGAGAATGAAGACAACAGCAGAGGAACTGCCTGTTATCTAGGGAGTATCTACCAGGGCCAAGTACTATGCTGTGTTAGGTCTTAGTAGTCTTACTTTATACATAAAGATCAGAACATTTCACTGACCCCAGGTCACATGGCAAGTGTCCACCCCTGCATCTCAGGCTTCAGTGTGGACCCTTCTGTGGATGCTGCCAGAGAGGGCAGATTCTCTATTAGGAGGAGGCAGAGCAAGGTGGGACTCAGCTCACCACCCTGGGGATCCCAGGACTACATATGGCCTCACAGACATCTCCTGGTTCCTGTTCCCACCATCACTGTGTGTGTTCTCCTTCAGTACTGTGCTTACTATTATTAACTCCAGGTCCAGCAAATTTGATGATCTTTCAAAAGAAGCCCTCTGAAAGTTGTGTATTGTTTTTTTAAATTAACTGGTTTTGTTGATGTCACTTTCCTACTTAAAAAACAGGATGCCTCTGGACTTCCTGCTATGGGCAGGTATTATATTTGAGTTTTCATCTTACTCTGCAATGGACTCAAGCACAGGGCTTAAGATAAGAACTGCTCACATCTCTAACAGAAAATATTAATCCTAAATCACTCCATAATTTATTCCATATGTCAACTCAGGGCTTTGACTACCACAGGAGATTTTGTGTTTTGTTTTGCTCTCTTCTGAATACTTTGTCAGCTAACAAATTTATCAACTAGACCCAAAAATGCAAAAGTAAGACTGATGAACAGAAAACAAGTATGTCTGGCACCTTGCATACTTCCACAGGCAAGTTTAGCTTTTATACCAAAGTCATGGTGTTACACTCAATGTTGAGAGCCAATGGGTGGACATACCCGTTTAAAAATCTTAAAATATCTGTAGGACAAAACAATGACAACTTCATGTCAGGCCCAGGCATCTTAAGAGCCAACAATAGTGCCAAACGGTTTCTGTTCAAGTTGAGTTAATATGACAACTTCTTGACTAAATATTGACATAGCCCTTCAAACCAATGGCCACCACTATTTGCAAAAGGTTACCAATCAAATACTCACACTTTTGACAAATGCAAGCTCAGAGAGATAAAGAGGAATAAAATGCTACAGGACAAAGGAAAATTCTGACTTCAGGGCAAAACACAGTTTTCTTGCTTTATAATGAGCCATTAGCTTAAAAACTTATTTTTATAGACTCCTACTCTATAGTGAATAGGTTGTAACAAGATTATAGTTTATTTTTAGAGTATGATGATTAATATATTTTAGAAATTCTAAAATGGGTCAAAAACACTGAGTAAATCATTTACAATATCTCACAGTGGGAGCCTCATCTGGGACATCTTCAAATGAAACTATGTCCACAGAACAATGTTCAACCAGGCAGTCACCAACACCCACTACGACCACTTACGTGTTTTCCTCAGGACACCATCCCAGAGAATGGGACATAATGAATAGCAGGCTGAAACTGGATGAAATTTCAAAATAAATATTAACAGTAAGGTGGTTATTGTAAGTTCTCTCTCACTCTCTCTGGTAATGGTGGTAGAGAGAATCTAAACATAATTCCTTCACTTCTACCTTGATAAAAGAGCTAGAACAATAAAAATACAGATTCCTTTGAAACAGAATGAATAACAGAGATAACACTCAGGGATGGTCACTATTCCCCAGTCTAGGTCCTCAAGATTCCCACATGTGAAGTTCAACAAAATAACAGATCACGACAAACACAGAGGGAAACATGTCACTGAACAAGAGTCAGTACAAGCCGTCTTCAACAGACGGAAAGCCCCAGAGTTTCAGATGCTGTAATTCAGATTCAGAATAGAGACACTGACTCTTAATGAAATGATAAATAAAAATGCATTGGGTGGCAAAACTGTACGTTCAAATGTCTCCGATATTCATTAGACAATTTTGAGGGGAACAGTTCACTAATACCAACAAGTAACATTTATTTGGTTCTAAAGTTGTGTTGGTTCATTTATGCCACATATATTTAATGCCTAACTAATATTGTAAGGAGCAAACAGCAAGCTCCTTTTAGTGTAAAGAAGTCAATTTGGATTTATTATGCAAATTGCTATTGAGATTATATGGGTGTAGTTAGCTCTCACAACAAATTCTACGTCTGACAAATGTGTTGATATTCAGGCATGTTAATTATACTTGAATTAAAGAATGAACAATGGTTGTGTCACTTAGGACTTATTGTCTCCACATAAAAGTATCTTTTAAGAGTTGCCCAAGCATACAAAAATTCACCAAGTGTCCAAAGTTCCTAAGTTCTCACTAGCTAAAAGAGTCTCACTGCCATACAGTGACAAATTTATATTTTCCCAAATATTAGGTTTAATATAATTCTTAAAATAAAGTTATATAATAAATGAAATTTTTAAAAGCAAAGAAAAAAGTATATTAAATCACCCTCCTATATACCTGTTGATAGAAGAAATTCAAAGTTGGCTTGTCTTCAGTAAACTGGTTTAGAAATCCTTTTGGCAAATAACGAATTCTCAATTCATATCTAAAAAATAATTCACAAAACAGAATAATTATAAATCAGTAATTTTCTCAATTTATTGTCTACAATTACAATATGATGGTGTGTATGGCATTGTCAATTACTCTTAAATATTATTTAATAAATAAGTTAAAATATAATCAATTAATCTGTAAATGCTTTAATTTTCAGCACAAAAATGTGCACAGTGTCTTCAGCTCAATTCTGCAAAGAGAGAGCACGGTGAGAAGCCCAGAAGTCCCTCTAGCCCTATGGTCACCGTCCACCGCTGCCTGGGGTAGCACCCTCGCATGACTGACTTCACCCGCATGGGATCCCACAGGATGCACCCTTTGTGCCTGGCTCCCTTTATTCACCAACGTGCTCGAGGGATTCACCCACATCTGGCAGCGGCAGTCTGCTCAAAGCTGAAAAGTGTGGCAAATACAACTATTCAGCCATTTACTGCTGATGGCCATTTGAGTTGTTTCCATTTTTTGACTATTAGGAAAAAAGCCAAAGACTCTTTTTTTCTTCCTCTAAGCTTAAAGGAGGTTATTTATTTGCTCAGGAAGCCAAGCTTCAAGAATGATTGAAACAAAGGAATTTCATCAGAATGTGCTTGCGTGTTCTCTCTCTCACTGTCTCCACATAATAAAGACATGAGTGTCCTCTGGTGAGCACATGTACACACTTCTGTTGGGCAGCCCCTGGAACTGAACCACTGGATGATGACAACACACTGTAGCCTTAGCCAATATCACCAAGCAGTAAGAAGGAATTGTACCAATTGACACTCCCACCAGCAACATGGTCCTCTACATCCTCACCTCTACCTGGTATTTCTAACCTTTTCATTTTAGTTAGACTGAAGTTTATTTATTGCAATAATACATAGTGATTTTAGCCGGCACTTCCTTGATGAATAATAGAACTGGGTTAATAAGCTTGGTTACTAAATATCAGCCTTCCAGCCACAGACCAGAAACTTACTAGTCTTTGTTCTGTCAGTGTCTGGTGCAGAGGTGTCCAGTTAATGTTTAATAAATCAGCAAATTAAGAAGTCCATCCTGTTTTTTAAAGGTGTCACTTCCAAACACACCAGAGGTTCTCTGTTTACTGTCTTATAGCTGCCAATCTTTTTAAGATCTCTTGTTGAATTCAGTATTACAACACTGGCTTTTTCAAATTAAGGCACATAAATATGTAATGCCATTTCAAGAGAACACACCAAAAAACTGTATCAAAATACAATCTAAAACTTCCTAAAGTACGATTTTTCATTTTCTTTTGTCATCTTTGGAAAAGGACACCTTTCCTCTAGATGCAAGATTTTTCTCCTGTAAAGATCTGAGAAAAACCCTCTCTCTGCAGAGCGAGGAGCTGTTGGACAGCAGTGAGCAGAGATGTGCTGAACAGGAAGATGTGACCCACATCCTGACAACAATGAAAAGGATTTTCTTTATTAGCTGCTCTGCAAAAGTCCCGTGATACTCTCTCAAATGCCACGGAAGCCTTCTCTGGGACCTGGTCCTCTGAGCCCTGATTCACCATTTGAAAGGACTGGCCAGTTCCCCAAAAGCTCCAATAGTTTGTTTATAACTGATTAACCCACTGAAAAGCCAAACTGACCACTCCAGGCAGGCAATTACAAATAACTAAAATAGCCATCAAAATTCAGTTAACTAGAATTTAATTATCAAAGTACATAACTTTTAAGTTTAAATCTGTTTGATAGAAACCTCTCAAAACTGTGTAACACCTTTTGTGGCATTATAAACCCGGTGTGGTATGGCAATTTAAACGTTTTTGGCTGACTCAGGTGCTACCAACTACCACCTACTTAACTGACATCTCCCAGGAACCCCGTGACAGGTGGGCAAGCTCCTGCTCCCTCCTGGACCAACTGAGAAGGAAGCAGCGATAGGGGCTTCTGTGTACACACGAAGGACCCAGTTCAGCCCTGGTTCCTTTGAGAATGGGGTTGGGGGGCAGGCTGCTCCCCCTGAAGGGGCTCTGGACTACCTATTGCCCTCTGCCCCTTTATTCATATGTCCATCTTATAGTCCCCAATGGCTGTTTCCCAACAATAGTTTTAGGTTTATTTTGCTTTTAACTTTATAATAGTGTATTATACTATATGTCATCTTTTGGAATTTACTTTTTTAAAAGATGGAGGTAAAATTCACATAACAAAAAAAGAACCATTTTAAAGTGTTGAATTCAGCAGTACATTGTCCTGGGACTTATGTCTGTCACACAGTGGTGTCTGGCTAAGATCCATCCACATAATTGCGTGTCCCTGCAGCTCACTCATTCTGACCTGTGTGACATTCCACAGCTCACTTAACTGTTGCTGCTTCAGCTATGAACATTTTGCATCTGCAGCGCCACACAGAAATGCAAGTCTTTCAAGGACAGAACGGGGCGTGGACTGCAGGTCTATAGGGTATGTAATGACTCTGTTTTCCAAATTTTACATTTTCCCCAGTAGTATGGACCCTTGTTGGGTCCAAAACCTTTCCGGCTACTGATATTGTCAGACAACTCACTTTCTGCCAACCAGAGAGAGTAAGCAGGAATCTTGTTGTCCAAGTTGGTGTCTCTCTGATCACTAATTTGCATCTCCCTAATTTGATCACTAATGAAGCCAACAGGTCTTCCTATTGTTTATGAAACTTTTCTCTTTTATGAAAATACCTTCATGTGTCTTGGTCATTTACAGAGTTGTCTGCAAATTTCATATTGATCAGTACTTCTGCTCTAGGTACTATCTTTTGCTGTTACATGTGCCATAAATGTCTTCTCCCAGTTGCAACTTTATGCAGGTAGCATAAAAAAAAAAAATCCATGTTCAAACCTCACAGGAATGAAAATGGATATCAATTATTCTACGAGCACAGCACTTTCATTTGAACATTAAGACCTTACTTCTCAGAACTAAAGCCAGAACTGTGGTTGCCCTCATATGCTCACCTGTGAACTGAGAGGAGGTGTCTGCCAGGGACAGAAGAAAGTGATCGATCACCTGTTCTGCTAGTTGTAGTCACACATCTAACATACAAGTAGAGGAGAAACGGGAGTGACTGGCCTCAGCTTCCACTTGGCCACCATGTAAGCTGTATAATCCTGGAAAGTCAGCAGCCTCTCTAACCCAGCTTTCTCATGAGTAAAACAGCAAAAGGAGAGCACTTCCTTGACAGGACCATTGTCACACAAGTGAATGTTGAGACAATAAGTCCAGTGCTAGTACACGCGTGGTAAGCAAATGTTAATACGGGAGTATTGTAAAAATAAATTGGCCCTGTTTGGTTCCTGGCTGAATATAAGTGACTATACCATCACAGTACTTTGCCTCTTGGTTTATTTTACAATTTCATTATCACTGATTCAATTTTCACTAAAAAAATTTTATTGGGTGCCTGCTATATATCAGTCAGGACTAGAAAACAGGAGCAGAGTGGTGACTAAGACAAGGGCCCTAAGGGAGAAAGATGGTATCAGCAGGCCATTAACTATGGAGCTGGCCACGGGGAAAAGGTGACAGGAACACTTGCCCTAAACTAAGGGAGGGCGAAGCTGCACTGGGAAAGGCAGAAGTTCAAAGGCCCCAGGGAACAATGCACTTGGCTTGTTCAGGCCCTAGTGAGAGAGGCCACCCATGGCCAGTGGAGTAAGTGAAAGTTCTAGTAGACAGTGGCAGGAAGAGATGTGGTGAGGGCTGTGCTAGTCAATGACAAGGAGCTGGCAGGAGAAGAAATCATCCAGTCACACCCCGACCCCAGTTCCTATGAGAACAGAAGACAGAGATTTCAAAGGGACCAGCATTGCTAGAGTGGAGGAAGGGGGGAGGCAGAGGAGACAAGCACGAGAGGTGATCAGAACCTGTGGCACTGGGCTCCAGGTGAGCAGCTGGAAGTTTCCAAGCAGGATAATTTACACATTTCATTGGGTGTTTACATTTCAGAAGATCCACCAGCAAGTCCATGAGCTCTACCTTAAAAGCTTATCCCTGTACAACTGCTTCTCACTCCTCCTGGTACTACTCCCCTAGTCCACCTTTGTTTTTTTAGCTTTGCATGGGTTATTGGCATAATTTGTTTATGGTTTCCTACATCTATCCAAACAGAGTGTGAATCTAGGCAGGTCTAGAGAGAGAAAAAGAGAAGAAAAGAGGTCCCTGGAACAGCCCCAAAACAGAAAGGCTGAGCAGGAGAAGAGGTGAATGGTCTGCAAAGTAGGCCAACCTTTACCAGAGGACAGTCTGGTGGCCAGAGGCTGCATGAAGACAGTGCTCAGACAAGAGGGATTATGCCTGCCACTGCACACTGGTGGACAGGAGGACTAAGAAGAGCCCACTCAGGACCCTCAGCAAGCTGGGTGTTGTACTCTGAACCACACATTACTTTGGAATGTATTTTTAAACTGATTAATATACTGGGGCATGTGCAAAATTCTGTATTTCTACAATAGGAAGAACAAATACATAATTTAAAACTGCTCACATTGTGTTCCTTCTGCTTTAATTATTAGGAGGTAAGTTTTATTATTTTATTAATACTGTTGCTTTATATACTTTGAGAAATGTCTTTAGGAATGTACAAGTTTAAGAGTTATATCTATTTCTATACTTACTACATTTGTGGTGAAATAGGACTTTTATTATTATGTAGTTGCCCTCTATATTCCCTAATAATGCTTTTCTGACTTAAAGCTGTTTTCATAGGCTATTAATAGAGCAGCGCCAATCCACCCCCACCTCCCTGGTCAGTGGGCAGTGACATTCTTTTATTCTATCTCTTTAAAAAAAGAACAGAACAGAATGACACTGAAAAGAAAACTTTAGACTTCAGTGTAAACAGTATGACTAGCATGGTTTATGAAATACATATGCAGACCTATTACACAGAATAAATTTTAAGATATATATACTGGATCATAAGGTAAAATATATTCTTCCTGTAAGCCAAAGAAAAACGTCTGAGCATTGCTGTTTTAGATAGCTCTTATAAAGAGCAGAGAGC